TCTCATATTCATGTGGCAAAATTGGGTTTTTAGATAACCAGGTTTCCCTCTCATGTTTTACCCAAAAAAAACCTCCCAAGTTAGTTATTGTCTGCTAATTATCCCTGCGCACTCTCTAAACAAAAAAATAATTAATAATAACCCTAATAATTTCTCCTTATTACGTCAATACATTATTGAGTCATTCAGAATAAATGAAAGACATAACACCACTTTGTGACCGTCCAGACAACATTAGAACAACGGGACGGAATAAACTCATAAATACTATTTTGATGATATACCTTCCCTTTAATATCAAACCACACCTAATTTAAACATGAATCATCCATATCCATTGCCACACATACCCTCGGTTCCGCTTGGGATTTGTAGGGTTGTCCATAAAGATTGGCTTACCACACTTGAAGCAATTCTAAATAATATTTCAAGTAAATTTGGAAGCTTGATCGACACCGGAATCATTTGACAAGAGAGCCAAGGTTGGTTAGTTCAGAAGCTTGATCTACGCTGGAACTGTTTGACGAGCGAGGTGAGAGAATTGCAGATGAGTACCATTCTTGTAACATCAGGCATTTTTTGTAGACAAACCATGGTTGGTCAGTACACACTATGGCTATCTCCTCTTTTAAATGAAATTGGAAGACAAGAAAGATATCATCTATCGAGAAGATTTTGAAGTCATGATTCAATTGCCACATCCTTTGCAACATACCTTTCATGTATGTCCACTTTGGTTTGCGTCCCAAAAAATATCCCAATAAATAGTTATTCCATCTCTCTAGACATGAGTCAACCATTTCTTTTTCGATCTTCACATAACATCTGCCATTAAGCATATTAATAGGGGTAACTTCAAGATCTAAGAAATAAAAGATCCCTTTCTAGATCCCCTTAGGACTAAATAGTAAGTTTTTGGACTTATCCGAGTTCCAACAGTTGCTGTTAGCAGCATTATCCATCTCATTAGCCTTAAAATTGGAAAGCAAAGGCGGGAAATCCTTTATTTCATTATTCCTTATGCCTCCCATATCATTATGAAAACTAGAATTAGATCTAAGAAACAAATTCCTTCCCTTAGACGCACCATTGATAGAGAATACCACAACCTTTTTATCCTTATCAATATTATCAATAAAGGAGACCATCTTACCTTTAGTAGCAATAATATCAAAAGAATATCCAATGACATCCCTTGAAACACCATTATCAACATTATAAACCCCAATACGGTTTGCACTAACATCACTACATTTTGCACCAATAAGGTTTGCACGAGAATCAACAACTCCTTGAACATCATAAGCTTCATAAGCACAAGAAGTCGAAGATCTAACCTTTCGATCTTTCACCACGATATGAGAATCATCGGGATTAATAGAGTTTTGAGGATCAACAAAACCAGAAAGAACATGATTATCACCATCATGCTCACCTGCAATAGCAAAGCCTTCATGAAGAATAAGATCACCAGTTAAACCACCAAAACCATCATCAAAATCTTTCGACCTAGATCTAGAGTTATGAGCATAAACCTCAGTATTGCGAGAGGAAAAACCTTTAGTAATATCAACATGAATACCTTGATCTCCACCATCAGCAGAACGTATATGATCAAGTGAAGCAAGACCATCGGCAGGAGCCCTGGGGTCTTCGAAAACTTGATCTTTCTGCCCAGATGCAAAAAAAATAATTTCTATAGCAGCATATTCCTGGACAAATAACCAACTAGAAACATCCTCTGGCTCAGACACGTGATCTTCATGGAAACATCACCGACAATGCCCAAACCACCAGATCCAGCCATCGTAGATCCAAAATTTGCAACAGTTTCACGAATACCATGAACCTCAACACTGGAATCATTAGGGCCAGGAGGCTTACCATCCATGGGGAGTGCCACGCCATGGCTGGGATTTCCCTTAGCAGCCATGTCTGTATCAACACCTTGCGCAACCATGGTTTGAACATGCATTCACCATCGCCCACCTTGATCAAAACCCTAGAGCCCCTGTTTCTCTCTCTAGTTTTTCAATCTCCAACCCAATGATAATGATTTACATGAAAGGGAAGAAATTATGATTCAGTAGGCTCTCTCTGGTTGACTAACTCCACTATGAGTCTTTGAGTTTAATTTTAGTAGTAATTAAGTTTTGTTTTTTAGTTAATATCTTGTATGTGTTGTTGAAAGTTTTTATATTTGAGCTTTCTTGGTGTGCTTAATTAAAATTTTAAAAATTTACTACTGAGATGAGCTATGCCCACAACCTTCACTATCGATTCTCTCCTTGCTGTTGATTGCTAAAACCTTTCATGAGGGTTCATTCTCATCTAGGAAGTAATACTTAGCAACTATGCAGTTAGAGTCGGCCACATGAAAAGGTTTTTCTAATGGACTATAAGGTTCTTCCTATCATGGCAAAACATGAGATATTAGTGATGGTGGATAGCATCAATTATCAGGCAGACACGATCAACCCAATAAAACAATGTAGGTGGCCAATACATAAATTTCCTATTCGAGGCAGAGATGCTTTCAGTAGCTTTTTCTCCCATTTGATTGAAACCTTGAATCGTGAGGCGTGAGGATTAAGATTTGAACACCCAATCCTACTTGGCTCAAATTCCTTAAAAGGAAGAAGATTGACAACGAACTCACTGTCTGGCATTACCTAAGTCACTGGCACTCCATGTAAATCATCAAATAAGGAGAGGGGGCAATTATAGGGGGCATAAGCCCAACTATAGGTCATTATCTTTGAAAGTCAATGCCACTCTATTCAAAGGTGGTTTTCATAGTCCTCTGAGCTGCTTAGGGCATGAATGATGGGGATTATGAAGTCTCTTGATGGCATGATGCTATCAAATATGGATAACAACATTGGTAGCTTTTGTAAATGCAAGAGGACATTATATTTGACACTACCGTCATTGTGGGATTAGTGACGTAAGAGTTTAGGGCTTTGAATTGGCACATTGCCTTTTGACACTTGAAGTCATTGTTTGACTTAAGGATGCCATAACACAATTAATCCCGAGTACCATGTTCCTTTGACTTGACCTGAGCAGGATTCAGTATCTGTATCTGTCTTGATATGGTTACTTGTACCATATGATAAGCAGCTTTTTGAAAGATTGATTAGCTTTGTGTAAACCCTACACCATCTTAATCTAGAATGTAATCCTTATTTCCATCTCCACAGAGTTTCTTCTTTGGCTTGTCTTGAGACCAGCTTGACATGAGGCTATATGATGCATTTGTGATGCCACTGACGAATTTTACACTTCTTCTAGTCTTGAGTCATGTGGGTGAAGTGGAAGAACTGGGGCTCGAAACTTTCGTCACGATCAACTTTTGAGGATGTACCAATAAAATATTTCCTCTTTGAGCTAGCAATAAGATTTTTTAACTAGTGCCCTTATAAACATGTGAGGGTGCTCTTCACGAAGACTAGTGAGCAGCTCTCTTGTCCATAGCAAACATTGTCCTTCAAGGAGCTTCCCATGGGGTTGAACCTAGGTGCACAAGAGTGCTCCTAACCATTGCCTCCATCAGACCAAGTAGACGTTCCTACAATATTGTTGTTGTATCATGAATGAGGGGTGCTTTTAGGGTCATCGCCTATTTAGGTCCAAAAGAGGAAGCTTTAATGCCCTGTATCTTGGACTTGGACAGGGTGCTTTTACTAGCTTCACCCACATTGGACAATAAGGCCCAAATTAGACCAAAGAGGGGAGCATGACATTCAAAAGGGGGCTTCTAAGATCATTACTAATATTGGACCAAGAGTAGCTTTTAACATTAGTCGTTGGTGATTGCATCCTTAATATTATTGTATTGTCTCTGTTTGTTTTTTTCTTTTTCTTTTTCTTTTTCCTTTTTTTTTCCTTTTTTTTTTGCAATAAAACTTGTGGTCAACAAGAGAAAAAAAAAGTACCTTTAACATTATCACTCACTTTGGATTATATAGCCGATGGGGTAGACTCCCAAGAAATATGAGTCCTATAGTAGCTGGTTGTCTTGGGTAGAACTACCATTGAGTAGCGTGAATGTTGCCCCCGACAGCTTTCAATTGCTTTGGCATAAATTTATTAAGTATTGGAAGAGGGATGGGCCGCAATGGCGTTTCCTTCTCTATTCATGCCTGCTCAAGTGCCTCTTGGTGCAGGCCTTCTAGCTTCTGCCTATTGGGGTATGTCTCCTAATGCCCTAGGGTGGAGTAGGAAATTCCTCGGTGGTCCATCACCTAATCCTCTTAACTAGCCCGAACTATGGTCCCGGACCACCGGAGAGGACATGGACATCGAGGCATTGATGAGAGGTTGGGGTGTCATAGAAAAGCAACTTGCCTCACTTTCAGTGAGCACCTTCCCCTCAAATGCCGTTCATTTAAGCATGTCCTCAAAATTCTTGATGTTATGACCCAATTAGCAGTTGTGACCATTGAAGCTCGATGCACCAGCCACTGGAGTTGCTTGGTCTCTTAGGCATGGGGAGTTTGATTAGGTTATTAGCCACTAGGATGGTAAATATCTCCGGGATTGCCACGTGGGGATGATGCAAGAACGACATTTCATGCGTTATCGAGGAGTGTGTTCTAGCAGGCATCACTTAATTCATTCTTAGCTCATCCAACTTGGGCTAAATTTTCAGGAGTTCCTAAAGAGAAGTAAGCATGGCGTTAAGTTGACATAATTCAGCTGATTAATAGGAAATCACACTTAAAATGCTACTACTATTGATATGAATGATCTGTGCTATAGCGATTGTTGAAAGCTGTGCAATAGATAGCGCACCTAAAACTCAAATTACCAAGACAAGAGAGGAAAATTGGATCACTTCCATATTGTAGATTATGTGAAGGAAGGCTGTATTCATTAAAAGAATGCAATCAGTAAAAATACAACATTTTAGTCATGTAATCAATGCATGATTATTTTTCAGTAAACATGCAGGAAAACATATTACAATCTCCTTGGCCTAAGAGGAAACTCAACCATTAGTAAGTGCTTAGTGCCGCAACAACTAAACCTGTAGTGGGGAATGCTGATGATACATCAGGAAGTTCCTTCCATGAGGTATTGATCTTAAGAGATGGACAGATCCAAGCTTTCATAGAGTCCACAAACATATCAGGATATGGGGAGAGAATGGCTTCCCAATCGACCTGCATGCCTTTGGGAATGCTCTCATTGACCTCCATGTTGGCAGCAAGGAACAGACCCAGCATAACCACGTAGCCTACAGCTGCTGAACCTCTTGACAGAGGCATGAAATTGTACCTGTTAATTTGTTGATCACCAAGGTCAATTACCCGATTTATGAGGATTTGAGACACAACAATGAATAAAGGAGTAGGTTTCAACTTTTACCAGTAATACGTCATTCTCAGAATGCTGTCTCTTACATTGTCTAGCATGCGAATGTCAGTTGAACCATATGCTTCACCACAATAGTGATTGCACACAGTCTGCAAATGAACAGTTTCACACATATATAATAAGTAACGCCTTTATCAAGGAAAAAAATTAAAAACCAATACTGCCCCCAAACTTCAAAACACGATTGTACTATGAAGCACACAGGCTAAAATACGACCATGTTGAGAAGCATAAATAAACATATCCCAGATGGTATGCAAAACCAGTTACGTCCAGGATATAAGATGTATAGAACTAAAAATGTTCCCATTCTTTTGGAATGTCGCTAATACACTAATTTTTCTCCATAGAGGACTTATATCAGCTAAGGGGCCCTTTTCCAGGAAAGCATAAATAATACTCAGATCAAAATGAATTGTGTTTAACGGCCAAGGGCTGCAAATCCAGCGCAATTATAATGGCTCCAGAAACAACACCATAACCAATAGTTGTAGAGGACAATAAGAAAAGCCAATCATATGCCATATGCACAAATGTGATATAGTGTGTGGCTTATCAGCCCCATCATCAGTATTCTGGATAAATGACCCAATCAGTGTGAGTATATGTTAGAAATATCATGAGTGTGGAATAAGTGTGACAAGAAGCCAAATTGAGCAATTATATGAAAAGAAATCCTTATGGGGGTAAATATTATTCTCACCAACATTAACTTAATGAACAGAAAAAGCTTTGTGCTGCAATATTTTGGGGCACCATTTATCGTTTGAGGATTGCAAGATAGAAAGTCACATGTAAAGGATATATTCACATCTGATTTTAATAAATTAAGGAAAAGTAATGATCTAAAAAGGGCGAGGACCTTAAACTTGCCCTTAAAGTCCCAAGCCCGAGTAAATGAGTTGGATTGTATTAGGTAAGCAGCCAGCATAAAACTTTGGAATAAGGCTTGGATGATTCATGTAGCTGACCCCAAATATTGAGATAAAGCTTCCGATTGAACAACCGTAGGAACCCTTTCTTTGGTTAGGGTAGAAACGAAAATCAAGAAAGAAGAAGATTAAAAGGGAAGCAGTACTTGGGATAAGTAAGAGAGAAGAAAAGGATCAGCGCTCTGATATTATATTAGATAAAAGAGGAAGAGCGATGATAAAAAAGAGGAAGAGGAAGGGAAACTCGTGAGATCCCAAAGGTCTCGTGCGCCTCACAGTTTTATGTTAATAAAAACAAAGAAAGGGAAAAAGTGCCCATACAAACTGGAAATAGGACATATAAGTCCTATTAACTTCAAATAAAAGAGAAAGAATGACTTTTAACAAGGCCCATTCTGTATAAGGACAGTACCTGTAATATTCATTATGCACAAGGTAGTCTGGAAGTCACATCATAGGGGTTGGAAGTCACGTCCTCTCTGACATGCCCTGTCGTCTTGTTTGGCCATGATCTGATTTACTTACATAGTCTTGTAGGAGGGAAGTAGAAAAGTTTCTGATTGATTTTAAGTATGGAATATGGTTCATTATAGACATATCAGACCTGCCAACTTGTGTTTTACTCACGGTAGCCCAGTCATTTTAGTTGATCTATATGGTGGTATAGGAACACCAAATTATAGATTTACAGCTTGACAAACATATAATATTGGTCTCCCGATAAATCTTGGTCATTCTGAAATGTGTGGGGCTGATGTTCAACCTTAGTGCACCTGATGACTCTTGAGAATGATTGTGTATAGCTTTCTTTAAGCTCTATGCTATCCAACAAGAAATTATCACTTCTTTAGAAAATGATTGTAAAAAGCAGTCCCACAAATTAATAGTATGAATTCAGCATTTTTGTTTATTGCCAGGAATTAATAAATTTGAAGAAATAAAGAGCAGAAAAGGCCTCTACATGCATGTACTAATGCATTTCTATGACAGTAGACACATATACACTTGACTCTACATCATCGATTAATGGCATCACAATTTAATCAAACTATGGCCGCAGTCTTGATTTCAAATTTTTAGGTTCTCCTTAAGAACTTGGTTAACCAAGTTCTTAGTTGTGTGTCCGACGTAGTAGCTGTTTGCCCTTGTCATGATTGCAACCCAAAATTACAGTCAGCTATTCAGAGTCAGCAGAATCATGACATAGATCATTTCATTTGGGAAACCCCATGGTCAAGGGCCTTCCACCAAGTACTACTCCCTGCTTTTTCAGAAAACCCCAAGACAAAAAGCCAACAAATTAAGGGAGAAACAATGTGTACGGGGCTTGATTCGAATTTAAGATTTTGTGGCCATTTCTGAAGCTTGGATGATGATGATGAAGCTTTTGTGGTCATTTATGCAAAACTGAGTGTGTATTGTTCCAGAAACGAAAGGGTTGTTGAAAGATCAAACAGTTCTCTGTCCGAAACAGAGACCATTAAGGGATTGGTTTCACACCAGGTGGATCTGCTAATTGATGATAGAGACTTATTGTTGAAGAAACTGGTACAGTTAGATCTGGAATATTTGGATTCCAATTTTATGTAAACTAAGATCAGCTACTCATTACAAACATGTCTGGAGGACAATATAAATCTCAACGAGGATAAAAACCTACAGTTTCAGCAAGTATCTTCTAACAAAACCAAAATGAGCAACCTTTAGAAAATCCAACATGCATTCTAGGAACTTGTATTAATGTCTAAAAGAACAAGATACCAAATCCAGAGTATAGATTGAAAGCTCTCCAGAAAAATTAACAAAAATAAATAGGTTTCTCATCAAACCTGAGGCTAGCCTATAGTAGAGATAGAAAATGAGAGCACAAAATAACTTCTAATTAATTTCGGAAAGACACACAACAAGATCTACGTTTAGGGGTTACTGGGGTTTTACAAATTATGGAAAATATTTTTAGGAGGGAATTAGAGTTTGGTGTCTTGAAAGATTGCCATCAGGTCAGTTTTTGCGAAGGTGCATGCATTACTTCAGGGTTTGGAGGGTTTATGGATGGGGCATGTGCTCTTCGGAGGGTTCGGATATAGTGAATTGGAAAAAGCATGAGAAGTCCAGAATTGATGCATCCCTAAATCTAGAAGAAAGATTAATGAGGGTTCCAAAGAAACCTAGAAATTAAATTATTATCATACGAAATTTCTCTAGAAATATCTAATAGTAAATTATTGTTTAATGAGGTATCTAGGAACCTTCTCTAGAAGTTTCTTTATAAGCTTTCTAGAAATATCTTCCAAAATCAATGGCTAGCCAATAAATACCCTTAAAGGAGTCCATTTCCAACAACTTAGAAGTGAGACTTGTCTTGAGCCTTCTTTGAGAGTAAGTGATTGCTCTCTAAGTAGTGAGTGATTCCCACATGAGGTTGAGTGATTCCCTTCTAGCTTCTTTTCCCTTGTTATAAAAAATAATTGTATTCAGCTTTGTACTGAAATAAAAGAGTGAAGCTCCATTTTATTGTGCCCCATTTCTCAATCCTCTTGCCTAAGTACATCATTTGGTATCAGAGCAGCACCCTAGACATTGTAATGGCTGCTAAAGTAGCCCAAAACAATCCTTATTCTCATCTTCCTTTTTAGATTGGGATTTACCACCAATCTTTGACGTGTATCCTGATGAAGATTCGAGTTTCGTAAAAGAATCAATGACGAAGAAGTTGGTTATCCTACCTTTGATGAAAAGAAAGAAGAAAGTCCTATTTTCAATAAAGAGCTAGGTATTGGTAAGGAAGATGATGTTGGTAACGGTGATTATGAGGGTGAAGATGGTGGTGATTACGTTGGGCTATTGCTTTGTTTTCAATGGGGCGCCCCAACAACAACTCACCAAGTTCTAATAGAAATAGGTTGCCATGTGTTTGATCTTTACAGGTGATTGTGTTTTTTGTTGAAGACAATTCAATGGAACTGTGCATTCACAAACTCCTGGAGTATAATGCCAATAAATCAGAGTGGCGCAGCGGAAGAGGATTGACATCGCCTTCATCCTAACCCACTTCAAAACACGAGGACGGGTTTTCTCCAATAAGGGGAGTATGATGCAGGTGAAGCAACTTTGGAAAGGCCTCACAATGAAGTCAAGGTCGAGTTCTTTTGAAGGGGGGTTGACTGATGTATCCCTAAATCTAGAAGACTGATTCTTGAAAGTTCCAAAGAAACTTAGAAATTTAAAAAAATTTCTGGAAATATCTAGTAGTAAACTATTGTTTAAGGAAGTATCCAGGAACCTTCTCTAGAAATTTTTTTATAACTTTTCTAAGAAATATCTTCCAAAATCAACGGCTAGCCTATAAATGCCCCTAAAGGAGTTCATTTCCAGCAACTTGGAAGTGAGAATTGTCTTGAGCCTTCTTTGAGAGTGAGTGATTCCTCTCCAAGTGATGAATGATTCCCACGTGAGGTTGAGTGATTCTCTCCTAGTTTCTTCCCTTCTTATAAAAAACAATCGTATTCAGCTTTATACTGATATAAAAGAGTGAAACTCCATTTTATTGTGCCCCATTCTCAATCCTTTTGCCTTTAGATTACATCAAGAATACAATGGGGAAAAAACAGGAATGAGAAGAGAAGAAGAAAAGCAAATGAGATAGAAGAAATTAAAAAATACCTTGCAAAGAGAGGGACCCTTGGATGGTGCTACCTCTCAATAGTTTCATTGATGAGTTTAAAAGAAGTCATTTCTAGGTTCTTTTCTCTTCAAAAGTTTCATCTTATCAATCAACAAATATGTCCCTTTCTCCTCCTTTATGCATACATGACTTAAAATATTGACCCCAAAATTCTCCTCTAAAAGAAATTAACATAGACTTAAACTCCCCTTAATTACCCCTTAACTCTAAAAACAAATACACAAAATTACAAAAGTTTCTTTTTGACACCAAAAGTGTAAATAAAATGTTTAATTAATCTGGTCTAACGGAGATCACAATGCCCTCATCGTGATTCGACTACATTTGATGAAATTCGCATTTGAGAACTTCCTAGTTTCCATTCACGGAGAAGAAACAATCAAATAGAAAATCCAATCAAACGTTAAAATGAGGAAAGAGAAAAGGCATTATGTTTATGTGGTTAAGCTGGAAACTGCTAGATAAATTGCTCTTCACATAGCTCTACTTTAAATTTGTAATATATATCTCAGTATTTGGCTCATCATACCTCCCATGCTGCTGTCATTTCTGCACCATAATCCTCCCATCTGGGACGTGTACAGGGTGTTCTGATTGCAAAATCAAATCCCTTATCCCTGCAAGCAATAAAGTTTTGGGTATTTGATAATTTTAGATTCAAAAAGAAAAAAGGAGCTTCAGACAGAAGCTCTTATACTTACTCTTTTTCCACCGTAATCCTGGTCCCCTCAAGTTGCTTCCTGTACATATTTCAGAAATTCAAGATGACGAGGTGAAAGATAACATGGAACTGCTAGCACAAGCTAGTAACGCTTCAAACTTCAGACTCTCACCCTTCAAATGCTGTGCTAACACAAGTTGTTGCTAGCCAGAAGTCTTGACCAATAATGTTATAAAGATCAGCAACACATTCTGCATTTACAATCTGTATAAGCCACACACAATGTAGGATCAGTTACCAGACACAGCATTTCTATCTGGAGACTAAAGCACCAGTGGAACCTATAATAAAACCATGAAAGCTCCACATCAAGTACTATAAATCAAGATTGCTCCACAAAAATTTAACCATGATGCTCAGAGTACCTATGTAGTAGTCAGAGATTAAGACAAAATGGATTATACACAACACATCTAATAATCACATGAAATAAGCAAGCAATAACATGTTTTACTTATAACTAAATATATAAATGCTGTCATCTTTACACAAGTTCCTCTTCGGTCACATTTTTCTGACACAATGTTCGCCAGCAGGCAGCATTATCATATCATCTATTAACATAACGATCACCCTAGTTAGCAGACAGAGCACTTCTATCAGAAAAACTAAAGCAGGGGTGGAACCCACAACGAAACACCAAAGCTCCAAATGAAGTACTATAAATCAGAATGGATTTTTTAAAATTTAACTGTGATGATTAGGGTACATATGTAGTAGCCAGAGTTTAAGATACGCTGGATTATACACGGCACATTTAATAGCCACGTAAAGGGATCTAGTTCATATTAAATGCATTAAGAATGAAGATCAAAGAGTCCAAGTGAAGGACAACGAAGTCAATGAATCGTGGCAAATTTATTATAAAAAATCGTCAAATCACGAGCACTATGAGAGCACAATATTAGGAGGAATCTTCGACATAAATGAGGTCAGATCATAGATACGTTTGCAGGATTAAGGTATCTGAAGTGAAGGAAGCTTTGAGAAAGATGAAGATAGGAAAGACTTCAAGATTAAATGATATAACAATAGATGTTCAGAAGTGCATGGGAATGATTGGCATATTCTGGCTGACCAAGTTGTTCAATAAGATGTAGAGAATAAAGAAAATGCCAGAAGTACGATACTATTTACTAAAACAAAGGAGACATATTGAACTGCATTAACTATCGAGGGTTCAAAATTACAAGCCACACTATTATGCTGTAGCCTGTGGAGGAGAAGACATGAACCGATGGTATTAAAAAATTCGTTCAGTTTTATGCTAGGGAGGCCAACAAATGCGGTAATTTTCCAACTTAGGCAACTGATTGACAAGTTTCGAGAGAAGTGAAGAGACCTCGACATGGTTGTTATTAATTTAGATACAACATTCAATAGGGTGCCTAAAGACTTAATTTGGTGGGTTTTCGAAAAGAAAAGAGTCTACAGAAGATATATTGACATGATGAGAGATATGTACGAGGGAGAGCTAAGCGTGAGGACAACTAGTGGAGAGACAAGTAATACATCAGTAACAGTAAGCCTACATCAGGGGTTATCATTAAGCATATATCAAATTATTATGGTTTTCGATTCGACGAGTTAACTAGGCATCTATAGGATATAGTATCATAGTGCATGTTGTTCGTGGATGACATAGTTTTCATTGATGAGACTAGAGGCGGTGTCAACTCAGAATTAGAATTTGGAGGGAAGATCTGGAACCGAAAGGTTTTAAAATGAGTCGGACAAAGTCAAATATATGGAATGCAAGTTTAGTAATAGTAAGAGTAGAAACGATGTAGTAGTAAATATTGATAGCCAAGAAATACCAAAATGAGGTTATTTTCAATATTTTGAGTAATAACAGAAGAGACTAGAGAGATTGAGGAAGATATCATATATAGAATTAGAACAAGGTAGGTGAAAGGGAGATGTGCCTCCATAGTTTATGTGATTGCCGCCTACCGATAAAACTGAAGGGAAAGTTCTATAAGAGAGCTGTAAGACAAACCATGCTTTATGAGACAGAATTTTGGGCGATCAAGAAACAACATATCCATAAGGTGACTATAGCTGAGATGAGGATGTTCAGATGGATGAGTGGCAAGACAAGAAATGATAGAATCCAAAATGAACACATTTGAGGAAATATAGATGTGGCTTTAACAGGTTATAAGATGAAGGAAAGTAGATTTTGGTGGGCTGGTGACATGCAGCGTAGACCTAATATAGCACCAGTTAGGAGGTGTGATTTGGTTCAAGTGGAAGGCTTCAAAGAACAAAGGGAAGGCCCAAAAGGATGTGGAAAGAAGTAGTGAGAAAAAATATGGTGACATGGTCTAACTAAGGGTATGGCCCTTGATAGAGCAAAATAACGGAACAATATTCCTGTAGCTGACACTAAATAGTTGGGATAAAACTTGGATAATAATGATACTAATGCATTTCTTTAGTGGTGGAAATAATTATAATTGTTACATGAATGTATTGTACTGTTGTTTAGTACTTATATACCCTATTTCACTTTTCATGGGCGATATTATAATTCGAAACACTTTATTAAAATAAAAGGAGGTACGTGATGGACATTCTAGACCATCACGCCACTCTCTTTCCCTCCACTCTTCTCTCTTTTCCTCACACCACTTTCTCTCTCTTTCTTCTTCACACCACTTTCTCTTTCTCTCACTCACTCTTCTTCTTCTTCTTCTCTTCCTTCTTCGTCCTCTTCCCCTCTCTTACTATTCTATAATTACTTCCTTCTACTTTTTCACCTCTTCCTTGTATATACCAGATACTAATGAATGCCATCTAATTTACTTCCAAGCTATTGAGCACTTGACTTAAGCATTGCAATTTGGGCAGAAATCATCAGACATCTTACACGAAAGGGGGATTTCCATGAAACATAGTGCTTCGCTGGAGTTTCATTTCAGTATAATACCAATTGTATGGCATGTTTAGGCCTTATTTTGCATGTGAACTTTTTATGTATGTGTCTAGTGTTAACGTTTTTTGCACATTTCCATTTTTCGAATTATGCCACAGATAGGAAAGTTATGTGTCCATTTTCAGTAGTTCACTTCTCCTAGTAGATAGATGTTCTATGAATACCAGCTGACCCCAAATATGATCCTGTGAAGTGTGGCTTCAACTTATCAAAAATGCACCATGTTGCGGTGTGTTATCCAAAGGGTACATGTGTATAATGTTTGTGCATGCATGACATGTATGGATGTATTTATTTATGCATGTATGCATGTACTTATGTATCTCTGAAATTCAAGTTTAGTAATAATGGGAGTAGAAATGAGAAAGTAGTTAAGATTGATGGCCAAGAAATACTTTAAAGAGACTATTTTCGATACCCTGGGTCGATAATCCAAGAAAATGGAGAGATTGAGAAAGACGTGACACATAGAATTAGAGGTGGGTGGGCGAAGTGAAGATGTACATCTAGAGTTTTATGTGATTGCCGCATATCAATGTAATTGAAGGGAAAGTTTTATAGTACGGCTGTACTTTATGGAATGGAATGTTAGGTGGTCAAAAAACAACATATCCATAGGATAAGTATAGCTGAGATGAGGATGTTGAGATGGATGAGTGGCAAGATAAGAAAGAAGAGAATTCAGAATAAATACATCAGAAAGAACATACGGGTGGCTGCAATAGGTGATAAGATAAAGGAAGGTAAATTTAGGTGCGTTGTGTAAATTTAGGTGCGTTGGCCATGTGCAGCATAGACCTCATACAACACATATTAGGAAGGACAATTTGGTTCAAGTGAAAGGCTCTGACAAGACAAAAGGAAGGCCCAAAATAACACGTATGGAAGTAGCGAGAGGAGATACGATGACTTATGGCCTGACAGAGGGTATGACTTTTGATAGAGAAAAATGGCAGAACAACATTCATGTCCCAAATAGTTGAGATACAACTTGGATGATCATAATGATTTAATAGCATGAAATAAGCCAACGATAACTTATTATGCTAACAATGTAATATTAACATCATGGCTTCTATATGCAAGTGCTTCTCATATCCTATTTTTCTTGCACATTGTTGGACAGCAAGCAGTGTTTTCATATCATCTAATAACAGAGGGAATGTTTCAAAATCTAAATAATAAAGAACCATGGATTACTAGATATTAGAAACAAACAATAATGTCAAACTTCGGTGTAGGAAGAAAACTATTGAACTGTTTGCCTTTTTATTCTATTTAAGTTTAGCACAACAGGAAGAGCTATGCAAGTTAAGGTGAAAGGTTTAATAGGAGTGAGGATAAGAAATGTCCTCTTAACACATGATCGATGAAAAAATTTCCACCAAAGCAAGATAAACATTGAATTTCTAGTCTTATAATATGAGAGAAAAGTGGTGTTAGCAGCGATCAATAGTGGATGAGGAAGTACAAATAGAAAAATATTCCATCCAGTTTGCTCTAGATTTGACTCTCGGAACATGCAACCCAATTAAACAACCTCCTTGCTTCGACAAAGCCATCGCTACCCATTAATAATGTGGTAGAAGGAGACTCGCCCGAAGTCTACTCAGCCAAATGAACCAGAGGTCCCTAATATGTTCATCTGTTGATCATGCAACAGGGTATTATTCTCCCAAGTGCCCCATTTCCACTTAATTTCTTTCTGCATTATGCATTTCACCCATATCTTGGACATCTGTTGTTACTTATCTTTAGGGCATTGGTGCAAGGGCACTATTCATATTTGGTGGGAGTATGATCAGGAATCGTTCTGGGTTCAAGGATGGGATCGATGGATCGAGGTTAATCGGAAGCTCCTTATGATAGGGATCCATGCCCATACAATATTAAATCTAAGCGACTCAGCTCTTGTTTCCTAAGGATCGATATCCCATACTAGATAGGATCAAGTTCCCCAATTAGATATGAACATCATCATAGCCTAGTCACTATGCGCTCCTTATATGGGTTGTTGATGATATATTCCACTTTGTATAGTTCTCTAGCATGTGCACCCACGATGTTGATTTCTAATACGCTAGCTACTTCTCAAACAAGTCATGATTATGTAATTCTCTCACATCCACTCTTCATATCTACTAGGCAGTAAAGTAAAAGAAGATGCCAAAAGATTACCTCAATTGGACTTGATACACTCCACTCTCGGTATCCTCTACCGATGGTGCATAGGATTAAGGTCTTTCTTAGATCTCATAACTATGGG